TCGTAGACAAGACATATTTTCATCTGGCTGATTCTGAAAAAAGTGGGATTTAAAATTTTGCAAAAATGATTTTTTTTTCTTTAGGATTCCATATTTAACTACTTCTTAGCATGTTGTATCACAACACTTCTAAAATAGCTACATATTGCTACATAGTCATATTTTTAGGTTAGATGCATGTTGAAGATGATCCTGTTTTACATGTTCGAAGAATATTAGCTTCTTTCTTTTTTCAAGTATAGGAAAAAAGGGATGGTCTGAAGATCTCGGTATAAATCTTAATCTCTAATTCATTTCATAATATTTTTTTCACTCACATACGTTCAAAAATGTTTAAAGCGGATGAAATATATGGAGATAACGATCAATAATCAAGCTTAAAAGACCACAGAAATAATACAAATTAAGAGCAGTGCGAACATGGACCTAAAAGAACAGCAGCAGTTTATCAGTTGCCATGAAAGGGTAAATTAACATCCCTTGTCGACTTTCATACCAATCGTGATTCACTTCATGATCTGAAAAACGGGGATAAAAATCCGTAGACAATCAATTATGTAAATAATGGCCTATCTATTTTACGAAAACGTCAGTCAACATTTGACTTAATTAGAGATTTTATTTGCAGACAAGGTCAATGTATTGAATTTTGACTTTAAACGAGACTGTTTTAACCTTCTTTCATCAACTTATTTTTCAATAGCTTATCTCTTGATCGAATCTTTTCTTACGTAGAGCATGTACTAAGTTAACTCACAAAAAAATGATTAGTGGTTTTCAAATGAAATTTGTCAATATTTGGGTCCGTGCATAGAAATTCCCAGTTGTGATACCAATTGCAAGAAACACTTACATATCAGAGAAATGAATGAAGAATTTGAGATTGTATAAGCCTGCTGATTTCCCTGAAGACTGCAGATTAGAAGTGTTCCATAGATTATCAAATCATTTTAGGGGACTGTCTGCATTTTTTCATTGTGTTCGATGATCACTCAGTATGAATGATTTTTTTTAACTTAAAATTTAAGTGTTCGTTTTAATGTACCTTATGACATGATACTTTGATGAGTGGTTAGAGAGTACACTTTTAGAATCAGAGAGTGAATGGTTGGTTCTTTTATCTTGGCCACTTAAGTACATGGAGACCAGTTAGGTGTTAAGAATCCTCACTGCTGAAAAGCCACATATGCAGAGTACTGAACCTAGAAATTGGTTTAAATGTCAAGTTTTAAGCTCCAACCATTAATTGATTGCTATCAAGCACTTAAGTGAAAAAGTGCCACATGAACGTATAGAAAAAATAACAACCCCCCACCCCTAACATTGGAAAAAGAGTAAAAATAAATGTTATTTCTCTCACAATCTCCTTATAAGTGCTCGATATCTTCTATACAAACTACACCTGTAAGTGTATGACTATCATGAGTATACAAGGGTCCCATCAAGGCTACATAAACTATAATACTTAGATGCATGTCTGAAGGGCAAGATGCCCAAACTTCACTAGATCCTAATTGACCACATGCTTGATATTTATCGTATCTTAGTCTGTCCCTTTTATCTTGTATTTCTAAGCAACAGAATTCATAACTGAAATAAAATCAAGGAAACTTATGCCAACACAATGAAGCACCGGTATAATAAATAAAGAAGTCCTTTAGGTTAGAATATAAATATCCTTTTAATGAATCGAAGAATCAAGTTTGTGTCAAAATATTTTTACCTCACAGAAAAATTTATTTACCTTTTTTCCCAGATTCGATTTTTTCATCTAATTTTCTATTTGATAATTTAAAGAGTTTGAAAAATTATCCATATTCAATTCAAAGGGCAGAACTCTGCTTTGTTACGCAGTACTTTTCTTTTCTAGGTTTGTCCTTATTCTTGAATTTCATTTAATAATTTAAGGGGTTTGAAAAAATTACCCACATTCAATTCAAAGGGCAGCACTCTGCTTTATTACTTTTCTTTTCTAGGCTCGTCTTTATTTCTGATTTTTATTTAATAATAAAAGGAGTTTGAAAAAACACACACATTCATTTCAAAGGACAGCTGCATTTTGTAAATTATGTCTGAAGCCCTCCGAGTCTAGCAATGTCATCAATTATAAGAAATAACCAGAATTTGGTCGGAGGTACCATACTAGACACACTAAACTCTACAGTTCATCATCTCTTCTCAATAGTATATAAACATCTCAATATTCTTTCACTGATATTGAGAAGCTTCGAAAATATACCTTACGTTAATGTTCCTTTCAAAATGTTCAGACAAGAGCCTAATAATTTATAGATTTTCACATCCTTGTGCTGATATGAAGAATATATATAGGACTCAGGGCCGTAACTACCATTGAGGCAACGGAGGCAATTGCCTCCTCTAGATTTTCATTTTTTTTTTGGAAATAAGAAACACAACACAAGCAGCTGGATCAAGATTGATCATTTATTTGTTTGATTATAGCCACCTGAGCAATTTTTCAGCTATCCAGTGAGTGTCACCATTACCTATGCTCGGCGTTCAGGGCCTTTGAGCAGAGAGGGATCTTTATCGTGCCACAGCTGTGACACGGGGCTTCGGTTAACTTTATGCGGTCTCATCCGAAGGACCAGTCCCCATGTCCCATAGCGAAATTCGAACTACGGCGATCGATCATTTTAGAACTGCATTTAGTACAGTGAAAACTATTCAGAATGAATCGACGGGTACGATCTTCCCAGATACCCCTATTGACTTAAATAATTTTATCTTTTTCTTGGGAAAAGTCAGTTTCGTATTTATCATTGTTTATATTTACATTCAGAAGTTAAAATTACGATTGAAATTTATTTGATCATATCTATCTAAAATAGTACATAAATAGGTAATATAATAAAGTGGTAAACATTCTCAAAATCAAGGAAATGGTCCAAAATTGAGCCGTTTGAAGCAATTTTTTTGCGGGGGGCTTCGCCCCCGCACCCCCCGATCTTTGGGGGCCTCAATCGGCGGCCCCCAAACCCCCGCCTCCTCTATCTTTTACCCCTACTTACGGCCCTGGGACTGTAATTCAGACAAGCTCTGACAACCGCGAGATATTCCTTTGTGATTGCCTGGATCCAATTAAGGATAAGTGATACATTTTACTTCCCTTTTAAAGCTTTGGGACATCAGCAATACACAGAGTTAAGATAACTAAATAAATGGATGTTTTACTGAGCTCTATTAATTGCCCTGTTTGTTGTTATTGATTTTAGTCCACCAGTTTATCTTCGTATAGAAGCAGAAGGAGTGTGATGAATAATATTAATTTGTCTATAGGTATTTCGAGACAACTTAGAGTGTTTTGTAAAATAAAAGTATTCCTTCATCAGCTAGGTTGGAAACTTTTTGGAGCCAATTTTAAGTGTTTTTGTTGAAAGGTCTTTGATGACCTGGAAGAAAACAAATCAAATTATCTACTAGTACTTCTATCAACTCCATTTTTGTTTGTTTGAATATGCAATATTTATGTTGATTTTGAAGATTTCAACCAATCTGTTGGAAATTTCATGGGTAGATAATGGCCACCGTTATTAGCAGATCTGTTTTTGTATTTATATGAAGCAGTCTTTAATCAAAGATCTTTACATGAAGTCAAAAGTCTCTTTATGTGACCTTTAATTCGTAATTTTGTCATTTTGAGAACATTTTCTACGTTGATTTGATATACACCAAAATGCATCTTTATACATTGTTATATTTTACTAAGAGAAAGACATTATTTGACGACCAACATACATTCTAATTTTATAATAAACGTCATGACCTCATTCTCACCATTTTTTATATAGCTAATTACCATTTTTCCTTGCATATCATGCAATATATTTTTTCTTTCATACCTTTATGTTTCCAAGATGATTTTGATATGCAGGGGCGTTAACGTACGGACAAGAAGTTGTAAGGCCATTATTTTTATACGCCATTGTGTGCATATTTTTTTCGTTCATGACAGGTAGCTAGCACACTCTTAAGCATGACTGGTGTATGTTCTTCTGCAAATCTGACTTCCGAGCTTAATTATAATCTATTATCTTCATCTTTCATGTTCATATTAAATTGACAATTTCTCTTATCAAGAAAAAAGACACACGGCGGGTGTATCCACTCATCAAGGATATTTACTGCTCCATGGCACCTCATCCACGCTCTCTTATATTTTCAGAGGCCTGCATTTTCTTTCTCACAATTTACGTTGTTTTATTGGACTTCTGAACCTGATTTCTCTTCGATAATCACACATTTCATGGTGTTCAAAGGTTTCGAGAAAGGAATAAACCTGTTACCAAAGAGAAAGAACAACTCTACTACATTGTTTTAAACCAAACATACAATTAACATTAAAACATTAGCATTATTCTATGTATTCTTCGGATGACTCAAAAATATTTCATTTGAGGCAAAAAAATCTTAATGTTAATTTATGTCTAAAATCTCAAAATGTGAATAAAAAACATTTGATAAGGAATCAAAAATACAGTAGTTCGAACAAATAACAAGTAACATAAAAGGTAAAAGTTATTTTATTAAGTAAGGAATAGTGAAAAATTTACCTTAATAGCAAATTATTAAGTAAGTTCACGGTTTAACAAGGGTTTAAGAACTATGGGCAATGCCCACGATGAAGACTGAAAATTCTGAGAGATGTATCTTAAGATTATACTTTGTATAGTCTTCAAGAATGCAGACTATTTAGCTTTTAATTGAGTTATATATATAATTACATATTTTTGTAGAATGAAAATGTAGTAATACCAGTAAATCTGTAGGAAAACTGTATTCTCTTAATTGTCTTTGTAAACCAAAGACGCAGTCCTTTGTTCCCCTTTTCCGTTCGATTAGAAATGCGGATGACAATAGCAATACCGTCACTGTATTAATGGCTAAAATATTATCCAGAATCTCCTAACACAGGGATTCAGTAGACGGCACACTCGAGACACTGAATTGAATTATTCTTTTGCGTATGTTCTCCGTCGGTGTAGCCATTGAGGTTAAATGCTTTGAGTGAGGACTAATTTCACACATTTCAAAAGATGAGCGTTGCCAGGAAAGAATCAAATTGATTACTCCAAGACAACAAGAAGGAAAAGGAAGAAAGATATGTATTTTCTAGGTGCTGCTGTTTACACATCAATTCTGATTCATGGCTTTTTAAATATATTATCTGTGTTTTGTGGTACAGAGGACATAAAAGTATGTCCATCAGCTAGTACACTTATCGATGGTATGGAAATGAGTCATTCCGACAGAAAGCCGGAAGAAATATGTGGTGTTCCATATCAGGATGTGCAAATTTTCAGAATTTCCAGTGACCTTAAAGAACCACGACATGAACGTGAGTATACTGTCAAGTTTTATTATATCTCCTACCTGAATAAGGTATGTTATTTAAACTAATATATAGACTACGGAAATCAGTCAGCTGCCATAATGATATTCATCACCGTCTCTCTGTGATTAAATTTGCCTTCAGCAGCGGTTCTGGCTAATTCGCAAATACGATGAATTTGTTGTATCTAGTTAATCCAGACCACTACACAAAGCATGTTTACATTAATGGAATATTATTTGTACATATGTATTCTATTATTTGTACATGTGTATTCTGATATATTCTGATTTTTTTTTTTTGAAAATTTTCTTTTATAACGTATGTATGTTTTGGTCTTAGAATAAGAATTCTTACACTTTTCCACAGAATATCTCCCAAAACATTTTTTTCTTTGATTCCGAATATATTTCTTCCTGTCATTTTACATAGCACGTGGTTGTTATCTATATTGCTGTCATCATGATTAACCTGAAACCATCTGTATATGCACTGTAATAATAGTTGAAATAGCATAACACAAACATGTATGTGCCTATAGTTATTTAGTTTGAAATGGTGTTGTACATGACAATATTTCATCTGTCTGTGTTGTGTACAGTGTATGTTAATGTCTGATATTCATATCTTATTCTAAGCATTTGTTCTATAGACAGAAAATATGCAAATTGGTAAACAAACTCTTTTTAATTGAATTATACCCAGAATATCAAATAACAAATATATATTTCTACTGTATATATATGTATATGGATGTGTAAACAAAAATAATTTCACAGCTATATTTCATCAACATGATACACGTACGTAAAGAGAAGGAATCCTATTTCCTTTGCATTGATGCTTGAACTGAAAATTGAAAAATGATCTATGTAATACATGGAAATAACGAACAGTATTGAAGCTCAAAACTCCATTAAACAATACAAAATTGAAACAAAGCAAACACATACCTCCAGATCATCAGAGATGAGATCAGGTTCCATGGAGGAGTGAGCATCCCCTGGTGACCGTTCAAACGCGTCGCGTAATTATTTATATTGTCATGATCGAGAAGTAACGGAAAATCTGTCAACAATTCAGTGTGTAAATAATGGCCTTACAATTAATATAAAATCAGTCAGTATTTAACTTAATGATAAATTTTATTTGCTTACAAGGTCATCGTATCGACCATAGAACTTAAGGACTGATTACTTTAATTGAGACTGCTGATATTCTTGTTTCAGCAACTTGAATTGTTTGCCAAAAATTTTCCTCGTTTAAAAAATTGTACATATGTAGAGCATGTTCTTGCATATTGAATCATCTGAGAAGTATAAACCCCGTATGGTATATAATACATACATATATTAATTCTATTTTATAAATAAAAGTATTTAGTTATTAAAATCTTTTTGTATGAAGTGTACTTACAGTCAAAGATTCTTCTTTATCAAATAAACAAATTCATTTCATTTTTCAAGAGTATTCAAAGAAATGCATGTATTTTTTTTTTTTTTTGTTTTTTATCCTTGAAAGAAATTTTCGATAAATTTTCCCCTTGGTCTGAGTTATTTCCGATAAAAGGCTACCAAGCATTAATCCCAAAAGAATGATTGCAATGAGTTTCGATTATAAATGTTTTCTTGAAAGCGATAATTTATCGACCAAAGCATTCACATAACTAAACAAATGGTATTTTCTTTGGTCTAATTATGTCAATAAAAAATAAAAAAGATCAATCAACCAGCGAATAAGACTTGAGAAACCGAAAATAATGGCTATGAGCTTAACCTTATTAATTCATCTTTATTTTTTCAAAAAGTTGAAATATTTAAAGGAAAGAGTGTGCGTTTGATTGACATTCGGCAGAAATCTGGAATCTTGGGGGAAATTTCATTGATCTGTCACGTGACATTTTAGCAGTCATCCATGTGTACATGTAAAGTCCCTGTGAATTAGTAAAAGGGTACATGTAATATTTTCCAAATATTGTATTTTGCTTTACTTAAAATAATCTTAGAAAGCTAATGTTTGAATTGGTACAAACATGGAAATCGTTTATATATTTTTAAAAACGTTGCTCTAAACATTTGCTATCTCTGGGTCTTCCCTAAATGATTTTAAACGTAATTTATGATCAACAGCCAAAAAAAAAATTATATATATATATATATATATATCTAAATTCACATTAATGCTAATATAAATCATAAATCTTATTTTCCCATGTTAGAATAATCATGAAGCCTGTTTTATTTTGTGTCTAAGCCTTTCAACATCAATGTAACACTTCAGGATTTGTGCGAAAGCTTTTAGTGCATCATCTTTCATCTCGCAATTAAAAGCGTCTATCCCTATCACTCTCAAAATATTGATCCCAATAGCGTGATTCCAAGTAAGACACGTCGACCTAATATTCCCTTTATCTGAGATGGTCCTCGTTTTTGCATATTTTTGTTGTCTTTTACATCATCATAACTTGTTGTATGAACCACTCTATCTATTACTCTGAGTGGTGATCACTATAATGATTAAAGTTTTCCATTATGAAAAAGAAACATTTCAGTTGTCAGATAAATTTAATCTCGAATGATATGTTTAATAATTTGGTTTATCCCATGTTTACCCCTTTATCCCGTGGATATAGCTCATGTGATATCGTTTTCGTATCCCACAGTTGTGACGTCACAATGATATTTGGGTTAGCTTGATGAAGTAAAATAAAGTGGAGTCCAATATAAAAACAGGGTAAAACATTGGTTGTGAAGTATTAAAAATGGGATAAAAAGAACCTCTCATGATTTGTGGTTGGATAAGATTTTTATCCAACTCGTTGTATGTTTTTATCCCCTCGCCAAATCCTCTAGGATAAAAAACACACAAAGAGTTGGATAAAATCTCATCCAACTACAAATCCTATATTAACTATATCTTTAACTTCTATATCTCGAACACATGTGTAATTACGTATCTCGAGTACTACAAATATTTCAAAGTCATTTGAAAGTCCCAATTGTTTTTTTTTGTTTGTTTTTTTTTTAATGTTTTTTGTGTTTTTACCTAAGTATATCGAATGCCTTCATATCTCAAAGGAGGTTTGACAATACAATCTTTACAATGTATTATCTCCCACTACATTTCTAAAGGATCGATACGCACACATTTTCATTATTTGTGACACATTTAAGTTAGAGAGACGGTTGTCAGAGAGAGAGAGAGAGAGAGAGAGAGAGGGTTATGCTTTGTTGTCATTAATTTATAACCGTCTCAATCAAGGGTTTCTTTAATTCTACAAAAAAGTATTGAAAATTAAGGTACGGAAATAATCCTGTCTTTATTATATCTAGACAAAATTATTGTCATGGTTTCAGCAATTTTTTATTTTTCTAAATTGATTATCTAGAAAGCGTTTCTAATAAATATGGGAGAAGGATTTCTCATGATTCTCCTAACAGAAAATGAAATAATTATGGAAGTTTTCGGAACAAAAAGAAAATTCTTTATCAGCTACTTATTGATTTTTCTTCTTCTATGCATCTAGCCCTAGAGAAATTAAAGACGTTACACAAGAGAACGGTGGTACTTGAATAAGAGAAGGGAAAGTAATTTTCGAAAATATTTGTCATTATTTCCCCTGTGGTGCATATTGAGATTATTTTCTCCTTTCTATTTAAATTCTATTCTCTAGTGATACAGATAATTCGTTCTTGAAATTTAATGACGACTCTATTTTTGTGTTAATTAAATCAGGGATTTCTTTTCTTAGACCATGAACATAAAGAACTTTTCTGTAATAAATATTTCAGACGCATTTAAAGAAACTGATCACTTGTTTAGAACACCCGGTTCCATACTTAGATTGCATCACTATTAGTATCAAACACGTGTAAACTTTCGTAGTTTTCAAAATGCCATCAAGACTTATTGAATTACATGGTGTGATCTTAAATGTTATTTCTGTTTATCAGAGCTTCGAAATTTTCTATTCTGTTTCTCTTTCTTAATTACATTTCTTGTAGAGTTGGTCTTAAGCATACCAGAAGAAGTCACACGACTGATCATCACATTCAATGGAGTTGTGCTTGCTGTCGGAGTCCAGGGTTCTAAATCCAGTCTTCTGTCCTGTTCGGAACACCACGACACGCTTCTTATTACGTCATCTGGAAATAAACAAGCCTGTGTCCACGTCCTGCTAAAGCTGAAAGTCCATGCTCAAAATGTTGGAAGGTTGATTGACAACTTTAAATATTTTAAGTTTCAGTATCAGGTGATCTGTAAATACAAATGAAAAATATCCAAACTAAATTGACACACATTTGGAAAGAAAGCAAAATGATTGTGACTTTTAAGCAAAAGTATATCGAAAAATACAAATTGAAATAATGGCAAACATCAGAGGTGGCATCGGGTGCTATGTTGTTTATATGTTATACGTGATTTATATTTGTCTATGAAATTAAGTAAAAAGTAATTGATTCTTATTAAAAACTATGTAATTCACAAGGATGGAAAATAAATGAATTATTCATATAACAGATGTGACAAATTAAATATCCTACAGTGAACTCTACAAGTTAAAATACTACACTAGCCTTTGTTAATTTCATGATTTTATATCTTTTCAGTATTTGGATAAACAGGACAGGAAAAGTGGAAGGAAGGCAAATTAAACTACACAATAATGGTAAATTTCTGACGAAATGAACTTTAACAAACCCATTATGTTTTACTATAACAGTTTAAATGATTTACAAAGAGGTGAGAAAAAGGTTATGGTGGCTTGAGAACCTTCCTTTGTGATTCTTATTTCACTTTTTTACTGATTCTTCTCTTCAAACGATTAAAGAGATCCTTTCACAAATCAAAGCAATGTAAGAATTATTCTATGGATTTCAGGTATGCAAATTATCGTCCTTGATTTAGTTTAGGACTACAATTTTTTTAAAAGTAGTTTTAATATCTATTTGTCATTTTAATTTTATTTTACCGATTTCTCAATCAAAGGGAGTCTTTGGGGAACAAATTAAAACAAATATGTGTTCAGGGTATAGTCTATGATTTACTGTAAAATTACATTTTTTCCTGGGATCAAAGTTTCGAGGTTCAAGGGGAAAATATTGGTTTGTGGAGATTTAAATTCGTGGTTGGAAAAATGTTTAGTGGTGATGCATGTGAAATTTTACATTTTGAGGTGGTCATACATTCGTGGGTCTCTCCATTCCTCGAAAACAACGATAATTAAACCCTCCTCGAAAATGGGTGGATAATGACTGAAAATAACCTCATTAAGGTTACCTGCTTGTTAGTGAAAGAATGTAACTAAAACCTTGATCCAATTATAATACCCATACATTTCTGTGTAATCCTTAATTTTCGTGGGCATTTACTTTTTGCTGTTTTCGAGGTATAGAGAGGCCCACAAATTTATGACCACCACAAAATTAAAAAATATGATATGCATTACTATTAAACATTTTCCAACGAAAACAAACAAATCCTCACAAACAAACATTTTTTCCATAAACATCAAAAATCTTACCCCACGAAAATACCGAATAAGCAGAACTTTTAGCAAGAATTAAATTTACGCATTATTAGTTTGCTGAGATCGCTAAAAATGAATATCGCTAAAATAAAGTTTCATTTCTAATACTATAGTAGCTTCTTATTCGCCAAAATTACATCTTTGCTAAAACTTAAATACCATTGTTTAAGGCCAAAACGCTAAATTTGCGTCTTGCTAAAATTTCCACTGTTACGGTATGTGAATTTACAATATTAAAAGAGAAAAGGGGCACTTAAAAGTAGGTCTCATATCATCATCGATTACAGTTGCTGGCTGTTCCCACTTAGATATCTATTTGTACGTCTTCACCCCTAATAGAAACATTCCTTATGAATTGACAATTGAAAAATTCAGTAACTGTTGCTGGTTAAATACAATCATGACCCCTAATAAAAACATCTCTTATTCCTCGATAACTCACAGATATATTATGCGCTGCACCTAAAAGGTTTTCTTTTTCCGCCTTAAGCAAACTTATCCAAGAAGGCTTCTCTGAAAATATAAAAAATAGAATTATTGATCAAGATATTAAGAACGCGAAGCTTAATACTTTTCACTGACAGAATGAAGGGGGATATTTATGATCCCTGTCAGTGGTCCATAAAGAATATCGACATTTATTTTGTAATATGTTATTTTCCATATAAAAAAATTCCAAAAGAATCCATTTCGTCCACCAAAATGTGACTGGAGAAGACATTTAATTGAGGTTCATTTAACTTTTATTCATGTCATGATGTTTATGTCCATTAAGATTAATTATGATGCAAACTTCTAACACTTAGAAAGAAACAGTTAAAATAACCATTTTATCCCATTTTATCCAAAGTATTCATTACCTAAATGTAACTTAACATCTTTGATGATAATTACACATGTGTCTATGAAAAAGATCTCTTTTGAAGATGGATAGTAGTAATGTACCTTCTTTTGAAGATGGATAGTAGTAGCAATGAACCTTATTTTTTTTTTATTTTGTAGAGAAGCAACGATCATCAATCAGAGGGAAGAGAAGTAATCCTAGAAACTCTACAAAAATGGAATACAAAAGCGTTTCCGCCAAAATGACAGGTACATGTACATATACTTTTTCTCAGTAACATAAAGTTATACTTCGTTATTCTCTCTCAGAAGAAAAAAATATTGAGGAAGGAAGTTTAAATATTCAGGCCTTAAAGTCTCATTTTGAAAATTTAAAAAAAAATCATAGTGATAAAAAAAGATACAGAAAAAAAATCATTTTGAGACAAAAATTTCAGTTTGTAATTCAAATATATTTGATGTTTGCTGCTCCTTTTTGTCAAATTGATACGTATAAGGTATTTGCTTTTCAATGAAGAACACATTTTGAAAGAAATCAGGCCTTCAGATGTGCCTCACAAGTCTAATATTAAAAAATTTCTGCGAGAGTGCGATATCATACATAACTTTTAGACCACTAATTAAGGAATGAATTTAATAGATTTTTTATATACCGCTTCGCGGTTTATAAAGCGTAAACTGCCCCAACCCAGTTTATACCGTATAAAATGGGTAGCTATTAAATTCATTGCTTATAATTTAATTTTCATTCATTTGATGTAAGAAAAAAAGATTATTGTTCTAACAAATGACTTCAGTTTGTACAAAATTTGAATGTAACGTCAGGCGGATTGATACGTTTTTGACGCAAGTCATTGTGACGTAGGCAACCCATTTTATACGGTATAAAGTAATTTTTTATCCAATCAAATACAGCGTTACAACCAGAATTAAATTATATTGTAAAAAATAATTTAGTAAGCTTTTCAAATGTTAATAATTGAGCACACACTGTTTTTGTGGGTTTGAATTTTCGTTGTTTTCGTGTTAGAAAGAGAACAACGTGTTTTTCTCTTTCGCGTTTTGTCCTCAATATTGAATATGGTTTTGCCTTTTTTACATAACTTGGAAAAATGTAAGAGATTTCTTGAACATCATTTAGTTATTTATATTTACAAATTAAGGGAAACTGATGATTGGGCAATCTCGTTTCTGTTGCCTTTAAATTATTTTCTAAATCTTTTTTTGTTTCCTAGAAATATCCGAATGTGGGAAGACAAGAAGTTGCTTTAGGTAAAAAAAAAACACCCCAAAGTTATACACAGCAGTATACAGGTTTTTAAAATATAAAACATAAAAATAAAGTTGATAATGTCAAGGATGTTTTCTTTTTTAAGTCATAAATACTGTTTTATATTTTTTTTCACTATTATTCATCACTCTTTTTGTTTTGTTTTTAATGTTTTACTAGTAATTTCCCTTCATACTTATTGTATTTTAACACCATTATACTCTGTTTATGTACATGTATTTTGATGCTTTACATACGGATGCAATTTTTTGCAGGTATCATTCATCTGACAGTGAATGTGGTCACATGAAATGTACATATTTTCTGAGCTATTCTTACAAACACCAAGTCCAAGATATGGAGTATGAATTTGATTTTGAATTAAGTGGTAGAACTTCTGGCTGGTTGGCTGTTGGATTTTCTTCTGACAAACAAATGGTAATACTGTAAAATCACATATGTTCTTGGGGTCAAATTTTCGTGATTTTAGGAAAAACTCTTGGATCTTTCAATTGGGGATTTGATTTCGTGGACGAAGAATTGTTGAGTGGTTATGTTAGTAAAATTTTACATTTCGCGGTGGACATGAATTCATGGGTCTCTTGATACCTCGAAAACAACGAGAAAATGTCTGATTTTCCAGTAACAAGGTTTTGATTCACGTTCTTGGTACCGCATCAAAAAACTTAGGACGAAATTGTGGGCATTCAGGCAATGACCATATACCGAGCATTGCAACTGAAAGGTCCGGGTCTTTTTGTGTCATAGTGGGCGTCGGGACAAAAAGAAATAATGGCCCTGAAAGCGAAATATAGTTCAAAATTTCAAGCACTTCTCAGGTTAATGGTGACATATCATATGAGGGGAAATATCTCGAAAGGAACGTAAAAAATAATCATACAGTCTCCCACTTTCATCACAACTATATCTTGGCAAATCAAAAAGGTTAATTTCATTTGCAGTTTTCACACACAAAAAAATAAGTATTCAAGCACAAATACTCACATATTCATGAGAGTAAGAAGTGTATTCGTCGTACACAAAACCATACGTATGAACAATGTCTAAATCGAGGCAGCTTATTGACAGACATTAAGTTTATGAAACAAGAATATCAGCAGTCTCCTTTGAAGTCACCATATCATTAGTTCTATGGTCGATAACATGACTTTGACTTGAGATACCTTTTAAGTCAAATTCTGACTGACGTTTTTCATACTTATTGTAAGACCATTACTTACGCACTGAACTGCTCACGATTTTCCCGTTATTTTTCGATCTTGACAAGGAGCACACGGTGGGTATGACCGGTCTGCATGGATTGCTCACTTCTCCATGGCATCTGATCCCACCTCTGATTTTTTGGATCTCCGTTTTATATCTCCTGTATGGATTTTCATAAAATAGTTGTTTATTTTTTGGTATGTTTATATACAGATGGGGGACGCATTGGCTTGTAAGACGAATGGTGATCACAAAGATCCTGTTGTGCAATCCTATAAAATCCCGATGAGGCAGGCGCGTCCCAAACTCAGGGAGGGATTCAAATCAAATCTCACAGTTGCTGTCAAACAGAACGACTTTATGTACTGCAGGTATTTATATACATTGTACCGGTATTTTGATTGGTTTAATTATTTAGTACAGGTATACAGCTCAACCCTCTTTTTAAACTCGCATGGATTTTCGCACAAATTAAAGTCACATTTTTCTTGCAATAAAACTTAAAATTATTGAGTTTCAGTACAAGACATAATCTTTATATTATTAAATATTTTATGGTTAAGGTTCATATTCTCTAAAATCATTTTCTTAAGTTTTAAATGTCAATGTTCTTAAAAGGAATTGATTTATAAATTGTATGATGTTAAATGTGTATGGTTTTATCATATGTGTTTACAAATTAATTAATCGAACTTTCTTTGAAACTTTTTGGCTGAAATGTTCAAATTTAATTCTTACAGATAAGTATTTTTCCAGGATCTTTGCACATTTTCCATACTTCTCTTGGTGTTGTAGAAATGTAGCGCCGAAAAATGACGAAAGTACATAAAGAAATCATGTCAAAGGATAGGATGATAAAGTATTGTTTATCTTTCAACATAGTAAATTGTAAATATTGAAAATAAAATTCTTTTACATTTATGGTCTGAAACTTTGAAATTTTACGTTGGAAGGTATACATCTTTCATGATGCTAAATTTCAGGAAGTTAACCTGAAAAAATGTCATCTTTTAACATGGAAACCAGTCGAACAGATGAGAAATACTTCTTCCATCTTGCGCTTTAGTGTCATATAAATATATAAAATATACAAAGGTTACATAAACTACACTGTTTTCGTATTAAGGCAAGGCAAAAGCATGCTTTAAAATGAACGGATACAAAGGTGGTTGCATTTGACGAGAAACCATGAAAAAACACTTGGAAACTCTCATAATATATCATCCAAGAGTATATAAAAATCCCACCAATTCATATCTGTGAATTATGTTTAAAGTAATGGAACATGATCAAAATTAAGTTATAAATCATTTTTTAAATATATTTTCTTGTCATGTTACACAATTTTACATCATAACAATGTGACCTTAATTTGTGCGAAAAACCACGTGATTTTAAAAAGTTTTTTGAGCTGTATATGGTTTCCATCGGTCGGTGATTTAATCTCTGTTTTTGTCAAAAGTATGCGAAAGCTAACTTAAGTTATCTGGCTACCTTTGCCTTTAATAGTTTGTAATTTAATGACCAAATTTTATCAGCTTTTCCTAATTATAATTCATGGGATTAGGTTAAATAAAATTCATTGGTTTATTTGATCATTCTGACGAAGGTGTACCGATATAGCAAATGTGTACCAGCACATTATGATGTCCCTTTTATACATGTAGCTTATCACCAGATCAACAGAATCAAGAAAAAGGTTAGCACTCATGGAGTAAATTATAAAAAAAAAATTGCAATGCATTTCATGTATTTCAGCAAAAATGTACCTTTTGAAACGAAATTTTCATCAGATCAACAATGTTATTTTCACAAATTCTTATGAAAAAGAATCAATTACCACAAAATACAAAAAAAAGGTCAGCAAAAATAGCTAATTGATATATGAAAGTAATGCATCGTCCAAAAAAATTACAAAAATTCACCAATAAAGCTTGCAAAAAATTACAAGTCTATCTAAGACACAATAGTAACATTACGTTTGTTTATGACAATGCTCAACTTTATTTACATTTTTTTTTAACCCAGGTATTTCCTCGATGTCATTTAAGATCAAGTCATTATTTACTTGTATTAGGACCTTGTTAGCAAGTTTCAGATTAATATCTTTGGACCTTTTTGGCTGAAGAGCTAGTCTAGGAGGTTGACATTGGTATATTCTGATCAATACGTAGGCCTCACATCAACCATATATATTTGTATGCAAACATCATCCAGTTTTTAAAGACACATCGTTCCTCACTAAACTTTAGCTACCATTTAACACTTTAGATTCTTGTTCCGGGGTGGACAAGGCGACATGATGGATCTAACCAATGATTGGTTCCAGTTATATGGGCGTGGCCCAGTGTCATACGGTAGGGCTTTTTATTGGTTTATAGGTGACGTTAAACGTAGAATTAATTTCAGCCAGCCTAATTATGCAAAATTATATAATTTATATGAAAGTTACGGACCTGCAAAACATCAGAGGTGGGATCAGGTGCCATGGAGGAGTGAGCTTCAATAATGACTTAATTCTTGTGTCATTTAATTATTATCGACGGTTTTTTAATGTCCAAATATTAATATTAGAGATATTAAAATCACGAAAAACAGATTTTTCAATCATTTATAAATTTGCAGTTGTTTCATTTATGATAAATGATAATAACTTGCTGAAAATATTCAGGATAATTTTTTTTCTTGATCTTAATTCAAAACAAATAACATGTTTGTATCATTTTAAATCGAAACCTTGAATCAATCATCGTTCTATAAGCATTTAATGATGATACTAACCTTTTAAAGATTTGTCATTGATGAAAAATTTAATATACATGTTCTTTGTAAGTCCTATGTAACTTAATTTCTTAAACATCCTTGCTTTTGAGTTACTTTATTAATAAACGTATTTAATGTGAGCAAATGATTTTAATTTTGAAGTCGTATCTCTCTTCTATATATGGTGAGACAATTTTATTGTAGGTTCCTTTAAGACCAATACCTCTGTATATTGTTATTTAACAAATTTCGCAAAAATTTTTAACTCTAGAATTAACACGCTGTCTATTTCGGTCTTTCTTTTGCATATTCATATTAATATTGGAGTTTTATGAAGAAACTAAACTTTTACAATCGACGACTGAATTCTACAATTTAAACATTTGGACCAACTCCAACTATTGAAACGGAAAAGTCAGATGTTGAATGTAAAAGTAAGGCTCTCCATAAAACCCTGTTACCAAATCATCTTGTAATATTTTTATTTGATGTTTGGGCAGACGGAGATTTGTTAATACATGACGAGATTCCTCTGATATCAGATTTCAAGATCAGCTTAATCAAAAGTGTCAACAAGATGAACGTGTACACCAGCAAAGGATCTTTCGTCACTTCCGCCTACCTCTGGTTCTCATGGACAATGTTCACCTATATGTTAGTTAATTTTCTTAATTGATTTCTTCATTAATCTTGGTTTGCATTGTCTAATACACATAAGATATACAATAACAATACAGAAAGCTTGTCTATTAATTTTTGTTTAGAATAATATATTTGTCGTGTTCTAAATTTTGAATTTACCGAGTAGGACTAAATACAAAATTTAGTACATCACATGTTGATCTTGTAATTTAGTATAAGAATAATGGAAACAATGTTAGTTCTTTTAAATATACATGTTTAAGTTTTGTGTGTGGGTAAATGAAATGTTTATTTCTTAATAGATCGAGAAAATTAAGTATAGATTTTGTCATTACCTAGCTGTATTTAATAAATACAAACGTAATTTCAATTCATGGGGTTGTTGTATTGGTAAAAAAAAAAAATTACATTGCTTTCACATCGTTCTTTAACCATATCCATTATAAAGTTTGTTTCTATGATACAGAGCTGTTGTTTGATGACTGTATATATATACATGTATGTTATTAGTGTTATGTTTTTCATAGTCATTTGTGAAAGCATACTGGTCAGTAAATCTATCAGCATTGGTGACAATGAAATTATTACATTGTATTATATATTTCTTTTTTTGTGTGTGTAAATCAAAAACAATTTCAAACGTACAATTAAGACGGTGATTTTTGTGTGTCAAATTTTGCTTAATGACTGTTCAACTTCATTTCTATGATTTCAACTAAACTTTATTAAACTATTTTATTAAAATATTAAATTTATTAAACTATTTTGTATCATTTATATCAGCGGACATTTTCATATTGCAAAAATGAACATGTAATTTAATTTAGATTGACAATTTGCAATACAGTGAATAATATCGCTGTATGTTGCAATCCAAAACTTCCAATACTCACAGAACCTTTCTTTAATTATTCCAAAAAATAATGGAAAGCAAGAAATCACATGCCATTATTGTCGTGGTCAAATTCTGTTGAATGTCACCTTTTTTAAAACACAAAAATTATTTTTTTAATTGTTAGTCTGGGAATTAAGTACAAATATTTCATGTAAGCTGCATAATGAATTCCTGTACTAGCAAAGCAAGAAATTAAAGACATTTTATTGTTTAATGTATGTCTGTTTTGGAAAAAATAAAATACGTTTAGAAACGTTAAATATTGTATTATTAATGTGTAGGTCACTGTACATGTATGTCTCATTTGTACATACCGGTATGTATGTTTCATTTATGGAAAAGGCATTGCTCAAGAAATATTCGGTGGCATGCAACTGTGTGCCGGCGATAAAGAAATGATCAATGACTGTAGTTATTTAATGAAATGAAGAAAATAATATAAAGTTGATGTACATATCATTAAATATAAAAATTCAATTATCTACATCGATGGTGATAAAAGGAAAGAAAATGAAAATATCCGCCTGTTTGTTACACATTCTTCTTAAAATCGAAGTCTGCGTTTTAAAGGATGTTTTAATGTTTTTTCTATATTATCTGTAATTTCTTCCGTTGTGTCAATATTACCAATAAAAAATTCTGAAAAAAATGTTTTTAAAAACTATTTTTTTCTTTTTATTATGTCCCTGTAATCGAAAAGATTATAGCTTTTGCCCTGTCTGTCCGTCTTACTCTGTATGTCTTTTGTCTGTAAAGGTATAAAATCGCCTTTAACTTTTGATTTGTTGGAGCTTTACCTATAACCAGTATTTCAGGTTTGTACTCCTTATGACAAGACCATTCTTTAAGTTTAAATAAATTTGACCTTGACTTTGGACTCTAAGCCACTTTTATCTAATAGATAAAATTTTAATTCTGGTCATTACTTTTTTGCAGTTGGGCTAGGCCTTTCATACTTCAAAAGTATATTCCCTGTGATAAGTCCATTCCTCCTTTCCTTGGGTATAAAATTTTTTGGGCTATTCATCTTGAACTTAGAATTTGACCCATTCTTGAAAAGTACTTAAACTTTGGCAATATCTTTTGAACAATAAGTACTTCGAGTTTTATTCCTTTACAAGCCTTTTCTTTTATTTGGATAACAATGATTTAAACCTTTGACCTATTTTAAGCTTTATTCTTAGTCATAATTTTTAACAGTTGGTGTTTGCGCTTTTATGTTTCACAGATGAACCTGACCTTAATCTTTGACCCAATTTTTAAAATTTCATAACCTTTCACATATTTTGAATGATTGAATCTTGAGGTTTCATATTTTGCGGGTATACTCGTATTCATTGATACTGTGGTCCTTTCTTTGGAAAACACTTTTTGTATCTTGAACCCTACATAATTACATGTAACAAACGACGTGGATAGTTGTGATGAACAAAGGCTCTTCAGTCAATCATGCAGGGATTCTTTTGTAAGGATCGTGAAAATGTCGAAGTATATGGCTATGATGAGCGAAGGTGCCTGTTCTAAAATATTTATTGTAAAAAACATGCATATGACCCCTAAATGTTTTGACAGGTTTTTAGCTCACCTGAGCCAAAGGCTCAAGTGAGCTTTTCTGATCAAAATTTGTCCGTTGTCTGTCGTTGTCGTCGGCGTTGTCGTCGTTGTTGTCGTTAACTTTTCACATTTTCATCTTCTTCTCAAGAACCACTAGGCCAATTTCAACCAAACTTGCCAAAAAGTGTCCTTAGGTATAGGGGATTCAAGTTTGTTCAAATGAAGGGCCAAGCCCTTTTTCAAGGGGAGATAATTATGAATTAGAGAAAATTTAATGGCATTTTTAAAAAATCTTCTTCTCAAGAAGCACTGGGCAAGGAAAGATGAAACTCATGTGGAATCATCCTCAGGTAGTGTATATTCAAATTTATTCAAATCATGACCCCCGGGGGTAGGGTGGGGCCAAAATGGCCGATCAAAGTTTTACATAGAAATATATAAGAAACCTCTTTAAAAATCTTCTTCTCAAGAACCACCGGGCCAGGAAAGATGAAACTCATGTGGAATCATCCTCAGGTAGTGTATATTCAAATTTATTCAAATCATGACCCCCGGGGGTAGGGTGGGGCCAAAATGGCCGATCAAAGATTTACATAGGAGTATATACGAAATATCTTTAAAAATCTTCTTCTCAAGAACCACTGGGCCAGGAAAGATGAAACTCATGTTGAATCATCCTCAGGTAGTGTAGATTCAAATTTGTTCAAATCATGACCCCCGGGGGTAGGGTGGGGCCAAAATGGCCTGTCAAAATTTTACATAGGAATATATAGGAAACCTCTTTAAAAATCTTCTTCTCAAGAACCACTGGGCCTTGGAAAGATGAAACTCATGTGGAATAATCCTCAGGTAGTGTAGATTCAAGTTTGTTCAAATCATGACCCTCGGGGGTAGGGTGGGGCCAAAATGGCCGATCAAAGATTTACATAGGAATATATAGGAAAAAATCTTTAAAAATCTTCTTCTCAAGAACCACTGGGCCAGGAAAGATGAAACTCATTGGAATCATCCTCAGATGGTGTAGATTCATGTTTGTTTAAATCATAACCCCCGGGGGTAGGGTGGGGCCAAATGGCCGATCAAAGTTTTACATAGGAATATATAGGAAAAATCTTTGAAAATCTTCTTCTCAAGAACCATTGTGACATGAAAGATGAAACTCATGTGGAATTATCCTAAGGTAGTGTAGATTCAAGTTTGTTCAAATCATGACCCCGGGGGGTACCCCTGCGAGACGATCATGAATAATTCATGAATTTCCTTGAATTTTTCATGAATTTAATTCACGAAATGTTCATGAAATGTTCATGAAGATCCTATGAACTTATTATTGGACATTTTCAAATCATGAATTTTTATTCATGAAAGAAAATTGATGAATATTCATGAATATTTTTTTTCATGAATAATTCATGAAGAGTCATATTCATGAAGATTCATCATTTCAAGAATGTCCAATAATAAGTTCATAGGATCTTCATGAACTATTCATGAACAATTTGATGAATTTTTTCAGGAATGTTCATGAATGAATAAAATTCATGAACCATTAGCATTCATGAATATTCTTGCTTTTTCGTAAACAAAAAATGAAATATTATTTTTCATGTTTATTCATGAAAATGCATGAAGTCATGCTAAAAAAGTAACAGGTAGATGATTTATAATACAGCATCTTGAAAGATTTTACAGAAATGTTGTTTGTTTTCCAACCATGGCAACAAAATCTTTGTTAATAAAATCAAAATAGACAATTCTGACACATTAAACCATAGTACGAGGGGTGTTAGAAAAGTTCGAGGACAAGTTCTATTGTGAGCCCGCTATTTCCACGAAACCGGTCAAACTTTTCAGATATAATCTTGAGCTTTTTTCCAATAAATATACAAGAATTTGGTGCTCTCCGGTGATTATTGAAAAATATACGGCATTTTTATTTTGATAAATCTTGCCTCACGGAGCATGCTACATTTTGGCACGTTTATATCAAAAAGGCTCTTTATTAAAATTAAAAATTGCACAATTGTGGTGCCAAGAGATTCATGATATTTTACCTGCCGCTAAAGTATGCAGGAAACGTCACTGGGAGAAATTTTGAACTAAACTGGAGGGTATATGACTGTTTTATAACAGTTTATAAATGATCAACGCGTAAAAACATAGCCAAAAATTGGAACGTCATTGAGCGTCATGGAGCACTGCACTACGTAAAAATTATGTATGCAGACAGGAAAATGTCTAAAAATAGATTAAAATGTTCAAGATGCTGCCGGGAATATCCTACACATACAAAGAACAAGTTTTCAAATGGTTGTAGCTTCATAAGAATGGAAGGAGTAACATTTTGAAAGATTAACTCCATCGATACTTCAATTAATACCCCCCTATCGCATGGACGTTGTGTTGCACCTTCATGGTTTTGCATAGTTTCCATACCTGATCGATTGATTGCATAGATTTTTTTATTTTTTAAGATCTCAATACTATCCGAAACAGTACAAAAGACATTATAGTAGAAAAGTAATATGTCTTGATATAGATAATCAATTTTAAAGTATAAAAAAGATAAGAAAACTCTGAAGAAATAAAAGATTTATAGAACTGCGAAAAAGCTTAAAGAGTTGAAATCTGGTTCTCACGTCGCTTACGTCAAGTGATTGCTCCGTGAATCCCATAACCCCATAGTATAAATAGTTGTAAAATTTTAAGATTTTATTATATGGACCTGATTTTTTACATACCAATAAACAAAATGTAGGAATTCATTCAGTCATAGGTCATACTTCACAGTACACAATAGATTTTCTGTAATTCAATGTGTCCGCGAACTTTTCTAACAACCCTCGTACATGAGTAATGTAGTTCATTCCTGGTAAAAGTATAAAAAATTTCAATTCAAATGCAACTCTTTGCAAAATGTTTAACCTTACTTGGTCAAAAGGAGAGGGGGGTCCTTCCTCAGCATGTTCAAATTGTGTTTTAATGCCAGAAATTGAACAGTTTTTAATTCCAGTCTAGGAAAAAAGTTTGTTCAGCACCAGGGTCACAGTTTTCAGTGCTTTCAAGCAGTTCGAGCAGAGATGGTCAATTCAAAAATCCTTATTGTCTTTCCATGTGGAATTTCCAGAATTTCATCATTTGGATCCTTTGATTGAATATCATTCATATTTTCATTTCTTTTTTTTTGTTTCTTTTTCAAGAGCTCAGATTTTTGTGCAGCCAGAGTTTCTTCTCTTCTGCTCATCAACATTTGTGAACTGCTTCTCTTTTTCCTTCAAAAAGAAAGATTTTCTGAAAGTACCCATGATTGTAAAACATAAGACTTTTTTGTATTTTCTTGCATTTTAGTTTCATTTAATTTTGCATCAGAGACACTTCCAAATTAAAACATTCTGAGTGGAATTTAAGCCTATTTTCTTGGACCGCCATTTTGTAGATCAATCAGGCCTACGAATGTTTTGAGTATCAGTCTATAATTAATGTATGTTATATGCCTATATGGTTGGATCCAAACTCAAAGCAAAGTAAGACAAAAAGTAATTGCATTAAAAAAAATTTATTATAATATTCTTTAATTAGTTGTTATTTTCCAAATAGACAGTAACCTTTACAGACAGATTTCTGACTCAGTGATTGTCTCCATTTTTTGTCACTCACCAGTTATGAAGTAGATCGATCCTATATGTATAGTCTTCCTTCTTCATATTCTGTTATTTTCTTTAAAAGTTGACAAGGATCAGTGACTGTACTGTTTATTCGACAAACCTTGTGAGAGGGTGAAAAACTACAAATCACAAAAGCATAATAAGAATTTGACAAAATATCAAAATCATAAGCAATCATACAAAATTAAATGCGTAACTTTAACATGTGAGCTGAACAGGCCTATGCCTATCGCATGCTGGAAATGCGCGGTTTTACAAAACATTGTAGTTGCAGAATTTTTAAACATGATAAAATATATTGCATAATACTGTTAGATACAGATGATCAAGTTCGATATATTTTCAAGTAAAACAACATAAAACTTACTCCTTAGGGAGGCCAACATCACCAAACTTCACAGCCAAAACGCCAGGCAAACCGCATGGCTACCATAATTAGTATATACAGAATATTGAACCCGATCGAAATAAAATTATGCAATACGAAAACGGCACAGTGACTATGCAAATAACAGATCACAAATACTGATTCTTCCACACTACAATTCCCACTTTCAACGTCTCGCGCGTTTTCAAGTTTGCGCCTATTCAAAAATGTACGGTAGAGCTAAGAAATACCTTAGTTTCGAATTTCCAAGATTTCTGTTTAAAAAAAATTACAAACACTATCTGGACAACTTTTCACTGAAAATACAATATTTTATATCAAAATAAGTTTTATCAATGAAGAATTCGATTTTTTTACGTCATAAATTATACATGTATTGACTTTTAGTTTCGTATAGCAAGTATGGCGGCCCCCTATGACATGATAATAACAATCTCTCGCCCTCAGACAGAATATTCTGAGCTGTGAAGACGCATAGGAATTAAAACTACAAAATACGAATGTGGATCATAGATACTTACAACCATATGCAGTCTGTGCTCTATCATTAACGCACGGAGCAAGGGAAACTTTTGACATTTTAACTGCACCAAAATGAAATGTAGCGTTTCGATCCAGGAATAATACGGTACAGTACAGACAAGTGATATAATTTTTAAGTTGTTAATAAATTATAAAACGTTTTTTACTAAGCTCATAAAGTTCATTTTCCAGAATGTTTCATTTTCCAACAACTTGTTTAAAGTTTGATGTTAGAGAAAATTCGGTCGAACAAAGTTGTGTGATGAAAAACGACATTAATTAAAGCACATTATGATGAATATAACTGTTTAATTTAAATTATGAAGAAACTCAAGTTATGAATTTGAAAAAAAATGCTGTCAATTGTGATGCAGTGTTTGTTAAATTAAAATCAAATAAAAACACTAAATGTTTAGAGATTTCATGTTTTTTTTTTAGATGGTGAAATAATTATTATTAAACATATATTATACCAGGGGCTTGTTCAACAATTGCATCTGCATGCAAAAGTTGTATTATGAGAGTATTGAGTGTTTTCTGTCAATTATTTTTGTCTTCATGAAAATTCATGAACATTCATAATACCTTGAACTCTACATTTTTTCTGTCTTTAAAATGAAAATTACCAATATTCATAAATATTCATCATTTGTTCATGAACTACATTTTATGAATATATTCATGAATAAAGTTCATGAACCATCTTTATGAACCAGTCATGAACCAGTCATGAACACATCATGAATGTTCATGAACGATTCATAAAAGTTCCTGAAATCATGAATTTCACCTCGCAGGGGTAGGGTGGGGCCAAAATGGCCGACCAAAGTTTCTCATAGGAATATATAGGGAAACCTTTTAAAATCTACTTTTCAAGTACTTCAAAGCCATGATTAGTAATATTTATGTGGAATTATCCTCAGGTAGTGTAGATTTCAAGTTCGTCCAAATCATGATCCCCTGGGCGGTTAAAATTCAAGCCCCTCCCCCCTAAACTTATAAAACTTTCAGTTCTGATCTGATATGTGCTTTTTCCTAGCCGATGTGCTTAGGTGAGCGCTGTGGCCCATGGGCCTCTTGTTGAATGGGAGTGATCAATTAGAGAAAAATCGTAGAGAAACAAATTACTCGTAGATGCATGGTTAACATAAGCAAGGATGCCTCTTCCAATATTGTGAAATTTATGGCCCCTGGGCCAGCGTTCTGGAATACTACTGATAATGTAATGAAGCTGCATTTATTCTGTGACAATCTTCTCTGTCCTTGTGTATTTAAAGCAAGAGTATTGAACATAATAAGTAATTATAAGAGTGTTTGTTCTTTAAATGTGATTTTCTTGGCCCCTGGTTCAGAGGGTCTGGTTTTTAAGGATATGGGATTGGACTCAATTGATTTCCATATCATCAGAATTTTTAGCGAAACACAAATGTGGCGATTTTTTCTAAGAAAATTGTACCTCTAATGTTAGTCATAAGTAATTTTAGCGATCGAGTATGTCATGCTTTGACCCATTATTTGACATAAAATATATATATTGAAATCTGTACTGTATCACATGAGGATATAAATTAAATCCATGAACTCTAAGCATGATGTTCTAGACCAAAATAGAGTAGTTTTAAGTTTTGTATTTTTTTACGTTTTCAGGAATATGAGCTAGAAAGCATTTTTTTTTCTTTATCATTACTTAATTCATTGTCTTCGAGAATTTTTCGTAGATAAAAAAGGCACACTTTCTTTATTAAAATGATGAAGTTAATTATGAAATTATTTCCTTTACACTGCTAGCTGTATATTATTTTCTCGAACTCAAACTCAAAAAAAAAATGTAGATAGTCCGTTAATCATTAAAAGATATAATGGTTAAATGCTGCTAAGTATACATATCTGTCTTTAAAAGGAAGAATAAATAAATACATTGTAATTTAAATCATTACCAGGTTCATTGTTATTGCAGAGGTTACAGTATATAATCAATAAAATCTACCTCATCCGAATGATTCGGTAACCGAGTTATCTATAAATACCAGGTGCGTTACTTCCCCTAACAGAACTCTTCAATATTCCCGCCATTTTTAAACGAAAACGACACGACAGAACACGACGTTTTGGACAACAGAAATCGTGTTGTGGTAGATATGTAGGAACATGAGTAAATCCAAAGATGCAAGTGGTTTGTATTTGATCACACTGTGACATGACATCCAAAAAGCACCCCCTTTAAAGCAACGTTGATTCATTCTTGTTTCGGCATAGACTGCGCGTCATGCCCAACATCTGACCTTCACTGGCTTCAGCCACTGGCTCAAGCTTCAGTTCCACACTTGTGACAATTAAAAGAGTAAAAAGGCTGATAAATATTGAAAATAATTTTAAAGTGATGATACAGACAAGTTTAAATACAAGCAAATATTCAAAAAATAATTATTTACCGAATGGCCAATTTTTCATACTGTTGATTTTGAGGGGGAAAAAATCACTTAAATCAAAAAGAAATGCAATGCTTTTACAATTATTTTTTTCCCGAAAGACAATAGTAACATCCACTAACAGGAAAGGGGAAAATGTATGGCTGGACAGAGAAAGGGTTACTTCTGCATCACTTATCTGTACATTGTAGGGCCATCCTTAAAAAATTGTTTTTTTTGCGGTAACGCGACCGACTCACCAAAATCCACCCTACTGGATTTTTTTTATAGGTTCAAAAAATTTTTTTTTTTTTACGTATCCATTTTCTATTTTTATCCGATTGACATTTTTTTACGTCTCCATTGCACCTACACCGTTTTTAAAAAAGAACTGATGTGTTCTGATATTTGAACAATAAAAGATTGGATTCATTAAGAATGCCTTAATTTTCTTGTTTGATTAGTAACTTGAAGTGAAATCTAAGACATAGTTAATACCTCTATATAATCGAAATTTATTTCTGACTTTTTGTCTCAAAAAAAAAAAAAATAAGCCTACCTACCTACCCACACCTAAAATGATGAGGCGCGTTACCGCAAAAAAAAATTTTTTTAAGGATGGCCTAATCAGGTGCTCTACTGAGCTACTCCAGTGGATATCCACAGCCGAAACCATAACATTCCTCCCTCCTTAAATTTTCTTAGCCCTTGAAAACACAACCAAGTTCTTAATGGCCCTAGCAGGCCTTTCACCTGCAAGTCCAGGGGTGGTCAATGGCATCAAATCTGTCAGTCTAATTAAAATTTGATCCTTTAGCTCCTGTATTTTGTAATGTCGCTGTAAGGACAGCGACATAATAAAATACAGGAGTTTAAAGGATCTAATCTTAATTAGACTGCAAATCTGTAAAAGTATGGCTGAACAGGGAATTGAACCTGAGACCCCAGCATGACTTGTTGGGTACATTTTTGACTGAGCTACCAAGGCATAACAGTTACACTTTCCAAACCATTGTACACAATAACAATATTGAACCTCCGATTTATTCAGTCGACAACAGTAGGGGGCACTTGATTTGATAATTTAAAAAATCAGTCAAAAACAAGGATAATGGGGGATTATTGTTGATATTGACATCTTTGTGCTTGTATCGTTGATAAATGGCCAGAAAAAAATTTATTTGAGATTCTCATCCCTACCCGCCACTCTAATAGTGTCCCACGTTGTTCTTTTTATTTTGGTTTTTGGGGTATCAAAAGATTTACATGAATATGTACATGTATTATGTTTTACCTATGCAAAGAATCAAAGTTTTAAGCGTTACAGTGTACTGGACAGAGTTCAAAATTTATCTAAAGAATATTACCAGGTCCACTGGTCCAGCACTTTTATCTCTTGATTCAGAAATATAGTTTGATACAATGTATAGCTTTATTAAGCTTTTTTTTTTATTTATAATTTAGCTGCTAGAGCAGTACTGGAATACCTGAATAGACAGAACAGACCGTACAGTGCTGTGGACATCTTCAACAATCTACACAAGGAGTACGGCAAGACGGTTTGTTTCTATGGCCTTGCATTTGCCTCCATATTATGTGTCTACTCTGTAAACAATAACAATTAATTACTATATATAAAGTCAATTAATATAACAATTAATGCACTAAAATCATACAGATTCAAACAATCTCTGTCCGAAGTACCTTGACAAACAGGAATTCAAATTCAAATGATGTAATATATTAATATATCATCATTTCTTGGAATATATTTGAATTGGATATTCATCCTGCATATAGTTTGATGAAAAGTCAGGTATTTTGGTGTTTTCCTTAAACATATGCAAGAACTTTTAAGTTTACTTTTTATAATGTGTTCTAAATGTCGAATTAATTTCTCAAAAATATGGACAATTAAGTGTTTTATGTATGACATCTTGTTTCTCCTTTCAGGCTGTGGTTAAGGCATGTGAAAGTTTGACAGAGGGAGGAAAAATCAAAGAAAAAGTTTATGGAAAGCAGAAGGTGTATGTTGCAGATCAGGTAAATGAAAAGAAATAAGTGTTAACAAGTCAAATTTCCATTAAAGGTTAGGTTAGTTATTTCAAGGGACAGACAGAAATGCCAAACTTATGTTGGCCTCATGGGGTATGAATCAGGGACCATAAACTGTAGTTTAATTTTACACTCTGCATTGAAAAGGGGGAATATAACCACCACAAGGGACAGATAAAGACATGCATTTCATATAAATGGCATTGTTAGATCTTTTTGTGGAAATCTACAAGAAATTGCTAATATTGATAAGCATATT